TAACCCTAGTTTTGAGCAGATGGTCTCCTTCTCCGCCCCAAAGAAACGAAGAAGAGGCCGGTCTCAGCGATCAGCGTCGTCGTTTCACATCCTTCCCGTCCCTAACGTCGGTGTCCTCCCCGGTAACAGTAATCTCGTCTCAGCTTCTTCTTCCGGTAGACTGAACATCGAGGTCAATGGATCAAACTATCATGGGATAGGCGATGAGATCATCGCGATCAACAAGGAAGCTACAACCGAAGCTTTGCTTGCTCTAACAGCTGGGTTTCCTGCTGATTCACTTACCGAGGAGGAGATTGATTTCGGTGTGGTGCCTGTGGTTGGTGGAATCGAACAAGTGAATTACATTTTGATTAGGAACCACATCATATCGAAGTGGAGAGAAAATGTAACTAGTTGGGTCACAAAGGAGATGTTTCTTGCTTCGATTCCTAAACATTGTAGTAGTCTCTTAGATTCGGCTTATAATTACTTGGTTACACATGGATATATCAATTTTGGTATAGCTCAGGCGATTAAAGATAAGATTCCAGCTCAATCTAGCAAGCCTAGTGTGGTTATAGTGGGTGCTGGATTAGCTGGTTTGGCTGCAGCAAGGCAGCTGATGAGGTTTGGGTTTAAAGTTACGATTTTGGAAGGTAGGAAACGGCCGGGTGGACGGGTTTATACCAAAAAGATGGAGGGTAATAGGGTAGGCGCTGCAGCGGATTTGACTGGAACATTAGGAAATCCTCTAGGGATTATAGCGAGGCAGCTAGGTTCTTCTCTTTATAAGGTACGAGATAAGTGTCCTCTTTATAGAGTGGATGGTAAACCAGTTGATCCAGATTTGGATATGAAGGTCGAGGCAGCTTTTAACCGACTTCTAGATAAAGCAAGTAAACTTAGGCAGTTGATGGGTGATGTTTCCATGGATGTATCCCTTGGGGCAGCACTCGAGACATTCAGGCAGGTTTCTGGTGACGCAGACGGTGTGGCTACTGAAGAGATGGGTTTGTTTAATTGGCATCTCGCTAATTTGGAATATGCAAATGCAGGATTAGTATCGAAGCTTTCTCTTGCATTCTGGGATCAAGATGACCCATACGATATGGGTGGAGACCACTGCTTTCTACCTGGAGGAAATGGAAGGTTGGTTTATGCTTTGGCTGAAAATGTACCAATCTTATATGAGAAGACGGTTCAAACAATCAGATATGGTGCATATGGGGTAAAGGTAACTGCTGGAAATCAAGTGTATGAGGGTGATATGGTGCTTTGTACAGTTCCCCTTAGGTGTCCTGAAGAATGGATCCATCAAATTTGTGCCTGAATTGCCTCAGAGAAAGCTTGATTGTATAAAGAGACTAGGCTTTGGGTTATTGAATAAAGTTGCAATGCTCTTTCCGTATGTATTTTGGAGCACAGATCTCGATACCTTTGGACATCTTACCGAGGATCCAAACTATCGAGGTGAATTCTTTCTGTTCTATAGCTATGCACCAGTTGCAGGTGGTGCCCTCTTGATCGCGTTGGTTGCGGGAGAAGCTGCTCATAAGTTTGAGACAATGCCACCCACTGACGCGGTGACTCGTGTACTTCAGATTCTTAGGGGTAATAGATTTACTATATTCTGATTGTCAATTTTAATTATTATTTTACATGTCAGTATCATTCTTCAGGAGATCTAATCTCCACTAATTCAGTTAAGATATCAGCCCTGATACGTAGGCCTAGCATTATTAATTAAAGATATGCATTCCAGATTTCATGAAGTTATGCTAATGTCACACTAATGAATTTTCAGGTATGTATGAACCACAAGGAATAACTGTCCCTGATCCAATTCAAACGGTCTGCACCAGATGGGGTGGGGATCCATTCAGTTTAGGGTCTTACTCTAATGTTGCAGTGGGAGCTTCAGGTGATGATTACGACATATTAGCAGAAAGTGTTGGAGATGGAAGGCTTTTCTTTGCNGGGGAAGCCACGACAAGGCGGTACCCTGCAACCATGCATGGAGCTTTCGTTACTGGTCTGCGAGAAGCTGCAAACATGGCTCAAGCTGCAAAGGCCCGGGGCATAAGGAAGAGAATCGATAGGAACCCATCAAAGAATNCTCATTCTTGTGCTACCCTNCTTGCAGATTTGTTCAGGGACCCTGATCTGGAGTTTGGGAGTTTTTGCATAATCTTTAGCAGAAGGAATCCGGACCCAAAGTCTCCTGCGATTTTGAGGGTAACACTAAGCGAGCCTCGTAAGAGGAATGAAGACCCAAAAGCAGATCAGTACTCAAACAAGATACTGTTTCAGCAGCTTCAGTCTCATTTCAACCAGCAGCAACAGATTCAGGTGTATACGTTAGTAACTAGACAACAGGTGCTTGACCTGAGAGAAGTCAGAGGTGGTGATGAAAAGAGACTTTACTACCTATGCGAGACACTTGGAGTGAAACTGGTGGGAAGAAAAGGTCTAGGTCCTGGAGCTGATTCCGTCATTGCTTCTATTAAAGCTGAGAGAACTGGTCGCAAGCCAGCATCATCATCTCCAGGCACAAAATCTGGTTAGGCTCCATAATATCTTGATTTGATGATTACTCCATACTTGTTATATTGAACCAGTAGTGACGTCTTTTCCTTTCTCTCTATTGAGAAGGTATATTAAAATCGAAATCTGGTGCATTAAAGCGGAAGCTGATCAGGTAACCTCTTAACATATCATTTGCAATAAGCTCTCACATTTACAGAAGGATTAAAGGACCGATGCCACTGAATCAAAGTGATAACGGCGTCTCAGAGACGATAAAACCAAAGAAAGTAGAAAATGGTGC